CCCTTTTAGACTTGCACTCTATTTATTTACTAACTGCTTGTTTTCTTAAAAAAAAAAAAATAACACTAGCTTCTCTAATCTTTTTGTATTCCATCTATTTGTTTTCTTTTTATTTATTATACAGTTAACAAAAGCCAAAAAGGCCTCTAACACTAGCTTGCTCTATTCTGTTTTCGTTTTATTTATTATATGATTTTAAAAAAAACTTGCTACGTGTACTGTGTTAAGCTAACTGAGACTTGTTATAGCACTTGCGTATCATTGCTCTTTTGTTAGTTTTGACTGCTTTTATTGTCCTCATTTGTAAGTCTCTTTGGATAAAAGCATCTGCTAAATAACTAAATGTAAATGTAAAATTACTAAAAGTTAAACTTAACCCTCATAAAGCATTCGTGTCCATTTTGACCCAGAAGAGATACATAAACATTTCTAAAAACTGCATAGTTTTTACTAAGGGAACGAAACTATGCAAGTGCTTTAAGACTATCAAAATACACATCATTATTATTTTTCAGATTTTTTTTACAATTATTTCTTAAGAGGTATAACCATTTAAAAGGAAATATTTTGGACCCGTGTATGTATGAAGTACCATTAGGTGTCAAACATATTTTTCTTAAATTATTAAGTTATACAAGTGTCAAGAAAACTGTAAAATATATTAAGCCTTTTCCATAAATCTCACACAACACTTTTTGGGACTGAATTTTGTTGATAAACATGAATATGTACACCTGCTGTACTGACAAATGTATTACTTTTTTCATCTGAAAGTGAACGTGTATGCATTACAATTAATTTAAAAACTTTTCAGAGTATTATTTATGTTGTTTTGTTAGAAATAATTATGTAGGATTCATACATTTGAGCAATCATGAGTTATATAAAGTCAATGGAATTTAATTAAATTCCATTCATTCCAAAGGGGTTAATACTGGTCATTCTCAGATTATATGTTCTTATAAATTTTATACAATCATATATTCAAATAAGATTTCTCAACCAAAGTGGGAAAAAAAAGGTGAAAATCATATAGAGATTCTGTATGCATTATGAGGGTTAAAATGAAAATGAAAACTGAAAATAAAAGCCAATTCAAAATATAAATGCTATAATAATAGAGTATACAGTAATATTGTCTGCACACCTGCCGACGCGGTGGATGTAGGACTCAACTGAAGAGGGAAAATCAAAGTTGATCACATTAGACACGTTGTGGAAATCGATTCCTCTGGAAACGCCATATTCCTTGTCTTTACCTCTGGGGGGACGAAACCAAAATCAGTAGAAATATTTAATACAGAAATCATTTCAACACACCTAACATTTTCAAGAAAGAAGAAATCATATTTAATGCATTTCCACTGCTGGGATCTCTTACTTTTTCTTCTTTCCTTTCTCCTGTGTTTTCTGGGAACGTCGAGCGGGATTCTCCAGGCCCTGTTCGTCTGTGGCGATGATGTAATTGTAGAAGCCTTGATTAAACTGAGTGATAATGTGACACCTGAAAAACAAAACATGAATTTAAGGACATCAAATGCAACAAGAAAACAGTATCCGCTACACATTTAACATCTGCAATGTGATGTATTTATATAATTATACATACTACTGGTTAATATTATTTTTCTTAAACCTCACGGCCTTGGTTACATCAGCAGGAGAGAAAAAGTTGCTTCAGAGGCGATTATAATTATGACTTTTTTGTGAAATATTATTGAAACAAACATTAACTTTATCTTTACAATAAACTGCATGGATGAACTGTTCATGATAAGAGCAGTACAGACTTATTTAGTATCATTTATATACTTTTATAGTTTTTATTAATATTATGAACTTCAACTTTAGCTTTTGTTTTATTTTTTAATATTTCTATTAATATTTTGAACTTCAATTTTAGCTTTTGTTTGCATTTTATTTTTTACTATTTCTATTCATGTTTTACTTTTTGTTTCCATTTACTAATTTTAGTTCTTCAACTTAAAATTATTTCTAATTCTTGTTTTTTCATCTAATATTTATATTTTATTTCATTTTTAACAAAAATGTTTTTAATAATAACCCTGGAAGTGACTTGACACAAGTGTTATCTAAGTATTAGAGTTTTTGTTTATATTTTGAACTAGATTTTAGCTTTATTTGTATTTTTTTTATATATATATTTCCATTTAGGTTTTACTTCTTATTTCAGTTTCTTTCAGTTTAGTCGATTTAGTGTTTCCGCTTAAACTTATTTCTAATTTTCACTGAGTTGAAGTTTTATTTTAAATCTAATTTTTAGATTTCATTTAAATTTTACTTAAAAATGTTTTTAATAATAACCCTGGAAGTGACTAGACACCAGAGTTAAGTATCCAAGTATTTATTACCACCATTTAGGTTTTACTTTTTATTTCAGTTACTTTCAATTGAGTAATTTTAGTGCTTCAACTTAAACTTATATAATTAACTCATTTTCATTTAGTTGAGGTTTATCTAATACTTATATTTTATTTCAGTTTTCATAAAAATGTTTTTAGCAATAACCCTGAAAGTGCCTCGACACTACTATTAAGTATCACAGTTTTTGCTAATATTTTGAATTCGATTTTAATTTTATATTTTGAATAGAATATTTTTGTGTAGGTTTAAAATAGTCTATCTATCTATCTATCATCCAACCATCTATCTATGTCTATCTATCTATCTGTCTATCTATCCATCCATCTATCATCTATCTATCTATGTATATCTATCTATCTGTCTGTCTGTCTATCTATCTATGTATATCTATCTATCCATCCATCATCTATCCATCTATCTATCTGTCTATCCATCCATCCAACCATACATCCATCCATCCATCCATCATTAGTTTTAGTTGTTAAAGTAAATGAATGTGTAAAATGTTGCCTTGGCAACTAACTAAATTATGTATAAATGTTTTTTTTTTCATATTTTATTTTAGTTAATGTACTGAAACTTTACATTAAAAAACAACAACATTTTTTATGGTTTTAGTTCACGATAATAACCCTGCAGATGGTGCAGAAATGACACCCTGCAGCTTTAAGGAAGTAAACAGCGTGACTACTGGTTTCTACTCTCCTCCCTCACCTGGAGTGAATGGGCAGCTCAGAGTTCAGGACGCAAGCAGGGATGCTGAACTGCTCCAAGAACAGCTTGAGCCGGTAACAGCGGTCCACGTCTCTGACGAACAGGAGCGACTTCCCTTGAACCAGGCCGAGCTTCAGGAGGGTGTAGATGAGCAGGAACTTGTCCTCCTCCTCACATCGGACGCTGTACTGCTGGAGCTGAGAGCTGTCGGGCAGCTGAGAGCCCTGGAGCTTCAGCATCACCTGCGACAGACGGAGGAAAGCGTCAGATCCAGCCAAACACACCAGCTGCTGACGCTGACGCCGCTGCACTCACAGGGTTGTGGAGGACCAGCTCCTTCAGCGCCTGGACGTCGTCATTCAGCGTCGCAGACATGAGGAACGCCTGGTAGATCTTGGGCAAGTGACTACAGAGGTGAACACAGACAAATGTGACCCTGGAGCACAAAACCAGTCTTAAGTAGCAATAGCCAACAATACATTGTATGGGTCAAAATTATTATAAATTAAGTAAAGATCATGTTATTCAAGGTATTTTGTAAATTTCCTACTGTAAATATATCAAAACTTCATTTTTGATGAGTAATATGCATTGCTAAGAACTTCATTTGAACAACTTTAAAGATGATTTTCTCAATATTTGGATTTTTTTGCACCCTCAGATTCCAGATTTTCAAATAGCTGTATCTCGGCCAGATATTGTCCGATCCTAACAAACCATACATCAATGGAAAGCTCATTTAATCAGCTTACTGATGATAAAGCTTACTTTACAATCTCAATATTTATTTACAATCTCAATTTATACAGCTTACTTATAAATCTCAATTTCAAAAAATTGACCCTTATGACTGGTTTTGTTGTCCAGGGTCACAAATACTAGATGCTGGACCTTTAACAGGGTTTCTGCTGGTTTATGAGGGTAAATGTAAAGGATAAATCCACTTCCAGATGAAAAATGTCCTGATAATTTACTCACCCCCATGTCATCCAAGATGTTCTTGTCTGTCTTTCTTCAGTCGCAAAGAAATTAAGTTTTTTGAGGAAAACATTCCAGGATTTCAAGGTCAAAAATGGAGTTTCAATGGAGTTTCAATGCCGCTTCAAAAGGATTTACATGATCCCGGCCGAGGATTAAGGGTCTTATCTAGCGAAACGATCGGTCGTTTTCTTACAAAAAATTATATTTATACACATTTTAAGCCACAAACGTCACGCGTGACCTTTACAATATCACCTAATAAAGACGCACATACGCATCGTCTTTATTAGGTGATATTGGAAAGGTCATGCGTGATGTAGGCGGAAGTACCGACCCAGTGTTTACAAAACGAACATGCAAAAAAAGTCAAATGCCCTTTACAATAAAGGTAAAACAACGATGTCGGATGATTTTAAAGTTGGAGGAGAACATGAGATGGAGTTTTTGAATGAAGTACAAAGATGAAGAACTAACCGAGCGTGACATTTCCAACAGGATTACATAATGTGTGAAGATGTGAGCCGAGCTTTTGTGGTTAAAAAGTGTATAAATATAATTTTTTTTTTTTTTTTCAGAAAATGACCAATCATTTCACTGGAGCCCTTTGAAGCTGCATTGAAACTGCATTTTTGACCTTGAAATCATTGGCCACCATTGAAGTCCACTATATAGAAAAAAATCCTGGAATGTTTTCCTCAAAAACCTTAATTTCTTTTCGACTGAAGAAAGAAAGACATGAACATCATGGATGACATGGGGGTGAGTACATTATAAGGAAATTTTTATTCTGAAAGTGGACTTATCCTTTAAGACATATATCACACAGCGTTTTAATGAAAACGCGTACCACAGCAGGTTTTTCAGGTCCGCTTCAAACCCAAACGAGAAGACAAGATCAGCCTCGTCGATGACCAGCATCTCTAATGCAGACTGAAGCTGCAGGTTCTGGGAGTTAATGTGGGCTTGAACACGGGACGGTGTGCTCACCACAATGTCCGGCTTCTCCATTAAAATCGGCCTGAGAAAGACAAACAATTGTAACAAATATCTAACTGCACTCAGAATGAGCTTAAATGAGACTGAATGAACTTGGTTTAACTTGAGCAGGGTTATTATTGTTAACTAAAACTATTGAAAACATTTTTGGAATTGAAATAAAGCTGAAATAAAATATAAATATTTGATGAAAAACTTGTATGAAACGAAAATTAGAAATGTTGCAACTAACTGAAGTAAGTTTAAATTTAAGCACTAAAATTACTAACCTCAAAAAAAAAAAAAAAAACCCTAAATAGTAATTTTGTTTAAAAAAACAAAAACTAATAAAAATGACAAAAGCACATAACAAAATTACTAAAACTTTAACTGAAATTAAAATGAAAATATAAAAATTAAACCTAATTCAAAAGATTAATAACAACTATAATAGTATATAAATAATACTAAAACTAAACATTTCGAACCTCCCAAAACAGTAATATTTAACAAATAGTATTAAAAAACAAAACGTAATAAAAATGACAAAAGCACTTAATAAAATTACAAAAATGTAAACTAAAATGAAAAATAAAAACATAAAATTAAACCTAATTCAAAATACTAATAAAAACTATCATAGTATATAAATAATATTAAATAGTGCTGTCAGACGAGTAATCGCGATTAATCGCATCCAAAATAAAAGTTTTGTTTGTATAAAATATGCGTGTTCTATGTATATTTATTATGTATATATAAATACACACACATACAGTATATATTTTGAAAATATTTACATGTATACATGACGGTATTTTTTTTTTCATGCATGACCGGGTGTAAACCATATTTTGTACTGATTGAGAGGAAATACTGCAGTATATTGACTTATGTAAAAAAATACTTATTTTGGATGCGATTAATCGCTTGACAGCACTAATATTAAATTAAACATTTTGAATCTCCCAGGCTTTAAGGGTTGTTTTAATGAAATGATAGTTCATTTGATTAATAAAACACCCATTCTTAAATCATTTCAGAGCAAATACATACATATAAGCAAATCTTATTCTAGGTGATTATATACTGTAGATATAATTCCTTTAACTTTTTAATAATTTTTTTTTTGCTGTAGTACTGACTTCTGTGCTGATATATCTGCTTTCCCGGAGATGTCGGCCACTCGTACGTCTCTGCCGCAGAACGCAGTGAGCTGTCGGATCATGGTTTGGACCTGCTGACCCAGTTCTTTGGTCGGGACCAGGACTAGAGCTCTGACGGCCTGCTCACGTACAGTCTGGACACATCAGCGGCAACAATGAACTGTGTGTTATATATCTGAACTGACTCCTCTGTCATTGAGGCCCAAGTTAGAATAACTCAAAGCCAAGTGTCACCTGTTTGGACGTGAGGATTCTTTGGATGAGAGGGATCGCGTAGGCTGCGGTTTTTCCTGATCCGGTTCGAGCTCGGGCCAGCAGATCTTTCCCCTCGAGCGCCAGCGGGATGGCTTTCTCCTGGATGAGGGTGGGCTGAGACCAGCCTAAATCTGCCAGAGCCTGAGAGAGAAACAAACATTACAATTATTTGTAATTATGTATATTTAAATGTATATAAATATTTTTAATTAATTAATATGCAATCAATATTTTGCAATTTTTCATTTTTAAATCATGTGTGTGCAAGCTACTGATTTTTTACATATAATGTGTATATATATATGTGTATGTATGTAAATAAATATTTTTCTTTTTTAATTATTTGTGTATAAATAAATATGTACATTATTTTTGTTTTATTTAAATGATATGTAACATAAATACAAATATGTATATTTGTAAATAATACATATACACATATTATATACACACACACACACACACA